TACCTGTGTTATCCCAGTAACCATGTTATCCCAGTACCTGTGTTACCCTGGTTCCCCTGTCATCCCAGTACCCATGTTATCCCGGTTCCCCTGCCATCCCAGTTCCCCTGCCATCCCAGTACCCATGTTATCCCGGTTGCCCTCTCATCCCAGTGCCTGTGCCATCCTGGCTGACAGTGAAATGTGAATGGGATGAACAAGAGCTGATCCTAATCCCTGTCCTGCTGCGCTATTGCCTGACCTCTGTCAGCACTGGGGAGCCTGTGGCCGGGCAGGAGGCAGGGAGGGAGGAAGGAAAATCACCGTGCGGTGCTGCAGCTCAGCTCTCCATCAGTGAGAAAGCCCGATGGAGGCTGTCAGCCTCAGGCTTTGCTCCTCTCTGCATCACACAGGAGCTGTTTAATGGGGAGAAAGGGTAGGAAGGGAAAAGAAAATCCTGCCATAAAGGGCAGGGCCATAAGTCCCAGCTGATTTCAGCCTCTGAGTCACCTCCATCCAGCTCCTCGGTGCTTTTGTCCCCATTGCTCCATGCCTCAAGGTAAGGATGGAGAAACTGGAGAGGGATGGAGGGTGGGCACTAGTCCAGCAGGTACCAGACGTTGCCACCGGTGACCCCATCAGTCCCCAGTTAATGGGTAGAGGTGACTCCTGCGCAGCCCCATTTCGGGTTCAGTCCACTGCTGGCTCGTCCCCACCATCCCAACCCAAGGAAGGGGACACGCAGCCGTTTTGGGAGCTCCAACGTTCCCCTGAGCCCCTACCCCTCCTCCTCTCCTCTCCATCCGCAGTGAAACCCCCGCCAGCACAAGGCGGGGACTGGGGCACGAGCAACGCGGGAGCCCCGCAGCCACCTCCCCCAGGCACCCGAATTCAGCAGAAACCTGAAATCAAATGCAGCTCCGGACAATGGCAGAGCTGCAGGCGCGGGCCTGAGAGAGCATTAAGCAGCATTATTACGGCTCGGCGGCGACATCAACCGCAACTTAAAATGTTCGGGATCAAAACTGCAGGGTCTGTTCTTTGCCGTGGGTTTTGCCTGGGCCGCATTTCCATTCCTCTGAAGAAAATACCTGTTTGGCTCAACCAACCTCCTGCATTTTGCTGTTCAGCTCTCGGGGGCTTTTCTTGCCTTCCCGCTCCCCATCGCACGTCGAAGGCGAACGGAAGCTTCGCCCTCGCTGCCGCATCCTGAAGGAGCATCCATGCTGAGCCCAAATGTTTTCCTTTACCCTTCCTCGCTGCCAGGTTGTCTTTATTCGCTTCCTCTTTCCTTTCCTTTCCTCCAGCTTCCCTTTCTGAAGTTGACTGACACTGTGCTAGTTTGTAGCCCGGCTCCTCCTGAGAATATTGAGCTTTAATTATATTTTTCTCATCGTTGGTGAACGGCTCGGCTCTAATTACGCCTGGAAGCGCATTACTTAGGACTAACCTGAGAAGTGCATCCCCTCCGGGGTGCTGGGGCACTCGCAGCTCCCAGGAGCTGTTATTTAAGGTGCTGAACAAGGGGGTCCCATAACCCTTGGCTGAGCGCTTGCCCAACGCCGCCCACCTCTGGAACTCTCATCTTTAACACCAGTGATGTCCTTTCTTCTCGTCAGCAATCCAGCCACTAATTACAACACCCCAAATTGTGGTAGCATGAAGGAAATCACGGGGACAATTCGGATGTGTCCGCCTCATGTTAAATCTGCCATCATCCATGGCTGGAGTTGGTCCTGAGCTCCTTGATGCTCCACGTGCATCTCCCCCTCATCCAGTGGCAGTACCAAAAGCCAAGGGGTGAGGATGAGCTTTGCCCACCCCTCTTGCCCGGATATTGCATTTTAATTGACCAGGACACACCGGCGCCTATGGAAAATTTGCCTTAGGTACCAACGTTAGCACTAATGATACAGGATCTGGTGCCTCCAGAGCATCCTTCATCCTTCCAGGGCAGCAGCAAAAAGTGTGATGGCTTTGGGCTGACACAAGAGGGGAATGAAGCACTCAGAGCCCAAAGAGGACGCCCCACAGCCTCATTTAAACAGGAGGGGAAAGGGCTCCCTCCCCACCCACCTCTGCAAACCGATAGTGGATTTTAACATTAGCTTTTCAGACCCGATTCATGGCCCTTCTCGCTCATTGACTCCACACGAACCATTTCAGTGAATGGGACACGTTAAGAGGAAACAAAATGTTATTTCATTTTAATTGCATCGAGGAAAATTTAGGAGAATCGTCTACTGGAGCTAAAAACTATTCCTGAAATGAGCTCACTTTTCTGTGTCACAGATAACATTGTACTCTGTTCAGACTAAAACAACTTCAAGAATCCAATTTACTTGTCTTCAGTACACTGTGTTTTTAGCCTACTTTCCTCAGGAAATGGGGCTTTACTTATGTGATTGTGCTGTTTATATATCTATACGCCATCACTCCCACACTAATAACTTTTGAACGTGTTGGCCAATTCCAACCAAATCTGACAGAGCGGTAGGGTTTTTCAAAAATACTGAATTCGTACAAATTTAATGAAATCCGTGGGTGGGCACATATTTTCCCCCACCAAGGGAAAGGCTGCAGCGTGAACTCAGCCATATTATTAGACAGAAGAGAATACACACACACACACACACACACACACACACACCAGTGCTAGCGAATCCCCGAGTGCTGGTGAGCCAGAGTTCACGCTGGTGTCAGACAGGGAATACTGCACCCCTGAGCCCCGAAATCACCGAAACGAGCATCAGGATCCCTCTGCCAATGCACCCGCTGCCTGTTTTGTGGGTTTCTTTCCATTTGGACGATGTGATTTGGTGTGGGCACTGCCAGGGAGCGTTTGTTCATTTAGAAGCTTTAACATTAACTGGACTAATTATATCAAAGCCTTTCTCGTCCGTTCTAGGTTTGTTCTTGCTCTCTATTGGTCCTGCACGAGACTGCCAGTGCAAAAACCCTCGCGACGGGGAAAAGTTTGAACCAAAGGACCATGAGTTTTGGGCAAAGCAGCTCCTCCCCACTTGCATTTCGAGGTCCTCAGACCTTTCCAAATTGCAAACCCAAGACACCCTCCAACACCCTGGTGCTGAGCCCATACACCCATCTAATCCCACCCATCCCACATCTCCAGCAAAGCCTAAACCCTGCGATCCCGTCCGGTCGCAGCCGCGTGGTTTGGCTCCGCGCTGATAGGTTTTGGGGTCTCAGCATAAGCCATTAGCACAGGCAGCAAAACCTCCTGGACAGATGTCACCCGCGGTCGGTAACCCAGCACTGATGCACGGCGCGCGTCACGTCGGAGTCCGTCTGTCCCCAGAGACAAACAGCACAGCAGATCCATACAGGGCTCTTCAAGCACCCCAGCAGCCCTCACGCACCGGAGCACCACAAAAAGAGCAAAGCCCCACGTTCCCAGCACTCTCTCTCTTCCCCATGTGTCCAGGCCAGTACAGCCCAGTTACGACTGGAGTTGTCAGGCTGAGCGACTGGAACCGGGTTCTGACAGAGCATCCTCAGATGCCTGCGCTCCCATTCATTTATTGCTACCTAATCTGATTTTTTCCTTTCTCTCTCACAATTGGAAGGTGGAACATCATATGCCAAGAGCTCACTAAAGTACTTCCAACATGGGGGGGTCATAACCTCTTCCAACTCCCCCTCTCGTGCATTTCCAGGACCGTTACCTCTCGTGGATGGAGGATGCTCATGTTCTCAGACCCAGCATCCCACAGCAGACCAGAGCTCCACATTTCAGGATTCTGGCTTTCCTATCGAGGCATTCCCATCCCCAGTTCACAGGGGAAGAGCTGCTCTTCCCACTGCTCCGCAGTGTTTCCTACCTGGCAGTACCTAGTGGAATTTGATTTTTTCCCAAAGCTTTGACAACAATTGGGTACAACATCAGCTCGAAAACATCATCAAGCCGCTCCCAAAGCAGGCCTGGCAGTCTCATTCACATTGCAGATAAGTCACCGGCAGGCGTGCTGATAAAGATTTCGAGTGTGACTCTGCATACCAACCATCCAGAGCCAAAAATTCATCCGGCACAGGCAACTGAGGACGTACCTGGGTTTTTCCCCTAACCCCAGCCCTTTTTCCCCAGCCGGGCTGTTTTATGCAGCACTCGCTCACAAAACAGACAGGAATGACCACGCTCTGCTAAATCAACCCCCAAAAGGGATACAAAGAGCCCTGAATTCGGCAGAGGAGCCTTTGCTCCCTGGTTCACCTCATGTATGGGAGCTTGCTGCAAGCTGCTTGAGCTGGCCCTGCTTTGAGCTGGGAGCTGGACCCTCTTTTAACCTAAATTAGACATCAACCATTTTTCACCCCCTTTCTGCTGGTTTTCAGCCAGATCAGGTCCCTGTGCTGAATCACTGAGCAGTTCCAAGGTGGCTATAGCAAGTCTGGGGAGTGGGGGCTTCCTGGGGCTCGTAGGGATTATTTGGGCACCCAGACCTGCTGCTTTCTAGCAGAGTCTCGGGCAAGGCAAAGCATCAGCATCAGCTGCAGCCAGCGGTTTGACTGCTTTTCCACTCAAAACCTCTTTTGGGAACAGAAATAGCTGGGAATCCTCCCAGCACAGCACAGCCCTGGGATGGTCCCTCCTGGCTGTGTCAGAGGATACAGGCAAACAGCATCTCAGGAGCATCTTCTGCTAAGGGTATCACCCCGCTTACCACAGAGGATGACCCTGCACGGCCTCGCTGGCTGGTTTGGGAAGATCTTGTGTACACAGCTTGCTCAGAGCTAGCAGAGGGACAACTCGGCTTGGATTCACCCCATTTTTAACACCACCCATGAGGTTTGGCTTTCTAGGATGCTGCTCGCTCCCATTTCGGGGTCCAAATAGCACCAACCGCTGCCCATGCCAGCACAGCCCGCCCCCAGCGCCTGCCTCCCTCCAGCATCTTCCCTACAACACCTTCCCCAGCACCAACGACCACAAAAAGCCTCCTTCCACTTCTCCCATCAAACCACAGCTGTCGCCGAGACGCCGCGTCGGGACGGGGACCACCTTACCTGGACGCCGCGATCTCCGCTTTCTGCTTGGCGATGGTGGCCGCCCGCTCGGCTGCCTCCACGGCCCGATCCACCTTCTCGCGGATCTTGCTGGCCCGCAGCGGGATGAGGTTCTTCCTCTTGCCACTGACCAGGACGTTCTGCTTGTACTTGCCCTCCTCCTTGGTGCCATCAGGGAAGGTCATGCAGCCGTAGCCGTGGCGCTTGTTGTTGGCCCATTCTCCCTCGTACTTCAGCCCGTCCGAGCGCTGGCTCACCCCGAAGCCTGACCGCTTGTCGTTCTTCCACTCGCCGACGTAGATCTCGGTGGTGGTGGCGTCGATGTCGTCTTCGATGACCGAGAGCTCGGCTTCACCCTCGCCCAAGCTGATGGTGGAGTTGATGTCGCTGGCGGTGGAGCTGACCGTTCTCATCCCGGCTTCGCTCCGGAAGGAGCTCTGCTTGCTCCGCTGGCTGGCCAAGGAGCTCTTGGACTCGGACTTACGGAGCTTGAGCCCGCTCAGCAGCGACCGCCGGAAGATGCCCTTCTTCTTGCTCTTGAGGATCTCGGCGTCACTGTGGGCCATCAGGACGAAGCCACCCCGGGAGACGGCTGGGCTGCCGGCCACCGCCGGCGAGGCGTCGGGGTGCAGCGCTGTGCCGTTGGTGTGCTCGCTGCGCAGGGAGTTGATGGAGGTCCTCAGGGGTGACCTGATAACCGCAGCCATGCCGTAGGGAACGCTCTGCCGGACGCCATAACCCTGGCGCATCCCTCCGACCCACTGGCCCTGGTACGTCCCTGGGGAGAGGAGACACAAGCAAAGAGGGGTTTCATGGGACGGCATCCACCGCTAACAGCATCAAACCCCTCCACCGACCCTTCACTAGCAGGACCAGCTCTGGATCCCAGTCCCATCTCTATGACAAGGGTTGTAATGTCACATTGCGGGAGGGAAAACTTAAAATCTCGGTGGGATTGCAGGCATGCACTCCAGCTGCAACGTGGAAATGTTAAAAACCAGCCCAAGAGCAACCCCTAATTTGGAAGGGAAGGGAGCAGGGGGATGGGGTAGGGGAGTCGTTATCCAGGACCAGACTCCGATCCCATTCCCGCTGCCGGCAGTGATGGAAGCGGATGGTGTATTACAATGCATTTATTTATATACACAGTGCCATTCGCCTGGTGTGTAGCGGAAGGCAGTGGCTCTATAGAAATAAAGGCCTCATGGGGAGAGATCCATTTCGTTATTCCCCTCGGATGCGTGCTCCTGTCTGAACTCCTACATTCGCGTGGGCACTCACTGGAGTTGTTTAACTGGTCGTTAATGGGATGAAACACACACGGCACTGGGAACGGAGGCACAGGAAACCCATTCACCCCGGGAAGCACAACGGGAGCACAACGCCTGCCCTATGCACCGAAACACGTGGCCGTAATCTGCCCGGGGTTCATAATCCCTTCCTCCCCTGGAGCTGGGCCATCGGCACGCTTCTCCTTTTATCCCAGCCGGTTGAACTGCGGGGCTTGTTTTTATTCTTAGGTCGGCTTAATCTTTTCTGGACCAGCTCGAGATGCAGTGATTCACCACCCGCCTAAGCTCTCGCAGAGGGGATGGATGAGCCCGAGCACGGCTCCTCGCCTGGTACTGGTGCTGCTGGGATGTGGTGGCTGGGTCCAGGGATGATCCCATGGAGGGGTGCAGGCAGCATCGGGGTCTCCCTTTGCAGCAGCCCCGCTCCCACACACCAAGGGAGTGTTAAAATAGAGCTGGTGAAAAGGGAACTCTGTGGGAATCAAACCAAAATGGCCCAGATGAAAACAGCCTGATGATTCCTGCGGGCTTGGTCTCACAGAGGTTCTCCATCTCTCTGCCCCTTGCAATCAGGCCGTGATTCACAGACATGAGCAACCTGTCGGGTCCACCTGAGCACTTCTTTTGGCTCCATAAATATTGTTCCCTGAGACCTCTCTGCCTTGCTGCAGCGTTTTCCCTCTCAGCATTTTCCAGCATCCCAGTGGAAAGGATTATTAACACAAGCTGCCCATCCCCATCCCAGCTAAACCCCACTCTCACTGCACGGAGCGATCCCATCCCTTCAGCTATGCATCCTTTTGCTCCATTTCACTCCTCATCCCAATCCCAGCCCCACGACTCCCATCCTTCTTGGTGCCCCGATGCAAGGAACCCTCTCAAAGTGCTACATTATCTATGTGACAGTCTTCTGCACCCCAAAAAATGCCAGCCCCAAGCTGGGGCACCCCATGAAGGCTGCCTCAGAGCAGAGACATGGAGAGGCAGGGCCGGGCGGCCAGGATTTACCGAGGGTTTATAGGATTAGCACTGGGGAGGGAGGCAGAGCACCGAGATTAGGGCAGGCACGGGCAGGGCAGGGTGAGGAGGTGGTGGCAGTGACGGCAGGGATGAAGGATGGGAGACAACCAGCAAGATAGCCAGAAAACAGCTTGTGGAGACATCAGACGTGTCCTCTGGTTGGGTTTGAGCCTAGGCTTGTGCCTCTGCAGACCACTTTGGTGTCCTTCATGACAAGCAACGACTGATGCCATGCACCCACGGCTCTCCTTGTACCCAGTGGCACCCTGGAACAGAACTCCCAAGCCATCTGTCCATCCATCCATCCATCCATCCATCCCCTGCAGACCTGGCACCATCTTGCTCCCATTTCTGGCTTTTTTTCAGCAGGAAAACCTACTGGGAGTGCTGGGCAGCAGCTGGGTGAGAGAGATTTTTCCCCCAAGATGGCTTGGGATGCCCTCACCCCATGCCCAGCCTCCTAGAAATCCCCTAGGAATTGATTTAATGGATTTCGGGGCAAGATGCCAGTATAGGCAAGGGGACAGGGAGACAAGGTCCTGCATGAGATCCATCAGAGCCTGCCCTGGACTCCCTTTCCCTGGGCTGAATCCCGTGTTTGGTCCCTGGCCCCAGGGAGGTTCCTCGACCTCGCTATCTCCCAGCAAATCTGCAGCTAGAAAATAAATAACCAACCCCAACGGATTAAACCACAGCACCGCAAAGCACGCAGGGCCCTTTGCTGAGAACCAGAGGCAGCGGCGAGCAGCAGAGCAAAGCGCCCTGGGAGCAGCGTGACAGCGCGTCCCAGCTGAGGCATGGGCAGCAAATTGGTCATAGCAGGTTCCAGCTGTGGCGAGCGCCTCTGCGGGGCTCCAGCAAGGCAGAGGAGCCCAGGCTGCTGTCATCTGGATATCTGTGGTATTTTGGAGGCATCCATAAGACTGGATGGCCTTAAAACCTCCTCCTGGAACTGCGCGGCTGCCAGGAGCCATCACTGCATCTCCTTGGCGAGGCTGATTTTCCTCAGCAGAGGATGCGAGGACTCGAGGAGCCATCCCCATCCAGCTTCTCCATGCAACCCCCCCGCAGAGAGCAAAACCCAAACCCCAATCTGCTTTTGGGAGGTGGTGTTCCTCTCCTGATTGCTTCCTCGCTGGAGGCAGCAGCCTTTGGGGATGGCCTAGGTGGCCACAGTGACCTCCCTGGTGGCCACCAAGACATCTGGCCACCTTCACGGCCATGAGATCAAAGTGCTTTGTTCCAAGGAGCTGCTATGACCCCACTCCTTCCTTCATCTGCCTTCACTACAGCTCAAACCCCTCAATATCCCAGGGTTTGGCCATCAGCACTGGAAGGTCTCAGAGCCATCTGATCTGCATCGCTAAGCGCTGCCAACTCCTCCCCTCGCACCACTCAGCTTAACCTCTGCCCCTACCATTTGCAGATATATGCACAAAGCTGCATCACACAAGGAGCCAGGAGACTCTTTCTCCCCATTGAGGAAATGGGATTTTATGATTTTTTACACTTTCCGGGCCTGGATGGACCAGCACTATGGCAAAGTGGCAAAACCATTATGATGGAGGAGAACTACTGGGGAGGAAAATGTGCCAAAATCTTCCCCCCCCAGCCATGCAAATCAGTTTTATGGATGCCTCCAAGACGCCATAAATATCCATCCCCCTTCTGTATGGCCCTTTTGCACTGGGCAAAAGAGCAGCCAAGAAAGTCTTGGCCGTGGAAAGCAAATCCTGAGCTAGGTAATTGGTGACTTACTACGGTAACACAACCGAAGCAGCAGCCACCTCTGCGCTGCAGCTCTTCCTTTACTATCGATATTTGCAAAAATGCTTCCCGAAGCATTAATTGCATGAGAGCAGCGGAGTGATGGCATCGAGGAAAACGCAGCATCTAAGCTGTGCACCAGGGCTAGGGCTGGCTGGGAGCCGTGGACACGAACAGACGCATGGCAGGAGAGCGCTGGACCTCCAAGCCACGAAATTTCTG